CCCTTTGCCCTTTGCCCTCGCTGACCCCATCCCAGTGCCCGTCCTCGTAGCGCCGCCTCCGCAGCGCCTCCTCCGCGTCCCGCAGCAGCGCGGCGCCCTCCTCGGGGCTGACGAAGGCGGCGAACACCGCGGCCGAACGGCTCAGCCGTTCCCGCAGCGCGGGGCTGGAGGCGCGGAGCAGCTCCGGGGCGGGGGTCGGAGCGGGGCCCCCCCCGGGAAAAGCGGCCCCCCCCGGGAAAAAGGCCGGAACCGCCGCCGCCGCCGCCGCGGGGCCCGGAACGCGGAGAGAGCGCCGGAAGTGCGGGAACAGAGAGCGCCGCATGCCGGAAGTGCGCTGCATGATGGGAAACGGCGCGGGGTGTTGTGGGAGAGGGGGCGGGGACGGCGGATGAGCTGGGGGGTGGGCGGGGCTACGGGGAGGGGCGGGGCTACGAGAGGGGGCGGGGCTACGGACACTGGGGAGCCACGTGGGGAGCCGATAGGGACCCATAGGGAGTCATGGGGACCCACAGCGCCCCATAGGGACCCATAGCGATCCATAGAGACCCACAGCACCCCATAGAGACCCATGGTGCTCCATAGGGACCCATAGAGACCCATAGGGACCCACAGCGCCCCATATGGAGCCATTGGGAGCCATAGGGACCAATAGGGAGCCATAGAGACCCATAGGGACCCACAGCGCCCCATAGAGACCCACGGTGCCCCATAGGGACCCATAGAGACCCATAGGGACCCATAGAGCCACTTAGGGACCCACAGGGACCCATAAGGGACCCATAGAGCCCCGCAGAGACCAATAGGAACCCATAGAGACCAATAGGGACCCATAGAGACCCACAGTGCCCCATAGGGACCCATAGAGACCAATAGGGACCCATAGAGACCCACAGTGCCCCATAGGGACCCACAGAGCTCCATAGGGACCCATAGGAACCACAGCACCCCATAGGATCCCATAGAGACCCACAGCACCCCACAGGGGCCCATAGGGACCCACAGTGCCCCATAGGGACCCACAGCGCCCCATAGGGACCCATAGGAACCCATAGGGACCCACAGCGCCCCATAGGGACCCATAGGAACCCATAGAGAACCACAGACCCCATAGAGACCCATAGGGACCCACAGCACCCCATAGGAACCCATAGAGACCCACTGCGCCCCATAGGGACCCACAGTGCCCCATAGGGACTCATAGGGACCCATAGGGACCCATAGGGACCCATAGAACTCCTTAGGGACCCACAGCACCCCATAGGGACCCATTGAGACCCACAGTGCCCCACAGGGACCCACAGTGCCCCATAGAGACTCACAGAGACCCATAGCATCCCATATCACCCCACACCGCCC